ACAGCTCTTTTTTGAATGCCATGTATAAACTGTGATTCAGGCAAAAAAGAGTCAGGTGTGAATAATATTTGATCTACGGCTGGCACACACAACTGCAGTCATTAAGTTGGGCTTTTACGAGGCTTACTGCAAGCTCATATGCCCACTTAAAACAAATCTTAATGGATGATAAAGTTGCAAGTTTTACTAAGCTGGCAGAATCAAAATGAGGTTACAGGAGAAATCAAATTACATGTAAATAAATTGGCAGTACAGGAAAATTAAGTTATCAATTTATCAAAGAATTATACATACCAATAGTCAAACACATAAGCACAACTTCTTAATCATATAGAAAAATCAATTAGAACATGGCAATCATGGCAGCTGTGGTAAAGGTATGGCCTTACATTTCTCTAATTTCCCATAAATGTTATGGAATCAGTCCTGATATCACTGTTCTTACAATCCATGCAGCTGTATTTTTATTGTGTCATCAGATCTTAAATTAACTTGGTGACTTACAGTAGCAGAGTATCGGGGAAGGACAGACAGTTTTGCCTCATCTCATTGGGGAAATTCAGACCTTGCCAGCAAATCTACTTCTCATTCTATTAATACAAGACCTATTTAAGCAAAAAAAAGTGAATGGAATTTGCCAGCCATGAAAACTAAGCCTTATTCAAAAAAGGGTTCTTTCCTTCGGGCAAAATCCGAGCAAAGGTTTTCTTGAAGACCAGGGCTACGCAGCAGCTCAGGGACACTGTGAATAACACTGACACTTGTGAAAGAATTAAGTGTGCTTTGAAAGAAGGGGAATTTCAACTTAAAAAGAGGAAGCTTCTTACAGACAGAGAGTGCTTGCTGTAAGAAGCACATACATATTTGTGATAGGAAAGGGTTGATTTTCTGTGATCTGGGCTTTCTGCATATGGTGGAGGACAGGCACTGAGGACAGAGGAAAGAATGAACATTTCTGTTGTCAAGATCCATACTGGAGTATTTTGCTGCCTCTGAGACAGGAAGTTTGGAGAAAGAAATAAGGTACTCCCTACTATTGTAATAATGCTTTCAACGGAGTGGTTTTGCTTTTTTATTTATCTGATAATGATTTGAACAGTTACTGAGGCAAGCCTTTGTAATGCTCCTATAAGCAAGTAGGAGCATACATTTGTAAAAATGTAATTGCTATTAGTAAAGTGACTCCACAGATGCTCTCTACTTCATTTAAGTCACAGCTGCTAATCGTAGGAGCTTCACACACATCCCTTATTCCCTGAAGCAAGCTGACCAATCTATAGCAGAATGAGCCAGAGCCCATTCTATAGCGGCATCAGCACAATTATTTCCTGAATTCCTGGAGCAGGACATTTATAATCAGAAACTGGGCAAAAGGACCAAAGGGGATCGGCAGGGCACTTGCTGATTACGTATGTTATAAGGATGGCAGTCTTAATTTACCCCAGTAGATAGGAGAATCAGATCCTTTCTTCCCAACTGCTGTAATTCTGGTGGTTGAAGGGCAGGACCCAAAACCAAAAGGCAAACCCTCTTCCTTTAGCTTTGTAAATCAGTTAATGTGCCATGAAAAGGACTGTGAGAAAATCAGTATGTGTCCCCAGAGTGATTTCTGCACTAGAACTGAGAGCAGGAGGGCTTGGCTCATTTAAGTGCACTTCTGAATATCACATCTTCATTTAATAATTGAGATTAATTTATTGCAAGAAAAAGCAGCTCCTGATCAGTGATCCTCCTGTTTAAGAAGCAGTATGAGGTTTGTATCACATGCCCAGCTGGTTTTGAAAGGCACTTATTGAAAATAAAGAATGCAATACCTGAGGACTAAACATATAATATATTGTATGGCTGCTAATCCTTGTTAGGTGTGTTTGGGTATGGGTTAGGAATCAACTACAGATTCATCCTTTTGTGTACTGTACATATCTTGCCATCAGAGGTGCCCTGCAAACTGCTATTTGAGGTTATGCCTGTACTGCATCGTGTAGCCATGCTGCTATTTCCAGGCAAAGTGTTCTATGCAGAAGTAGGAGGCTCAGAAGAGGGACAACCTGGGAGGGGGCATTTGAATTCCCTCTTCTGTGCAATGACTCTTGAGGAAACTTCAGCAACTGACTGGTCTGTTAATCAGCTGGTATCTCTAAATTGTCACCTGTGTGGGAACAGGGGTGCACTCCTGTTTCATTGCGAAGTAAAACAGGTTAGTGTGATCTGGTGAGAAGTGAATCCGGCAATTGCTACTTTCCAGCTGACAAGTTTGCTTGACTAAGCTTGAGGCAAGTGCGAGGGCTGGGAAAGGAGGACAGATGTCAGCTGATACAGTACCTGTGATGCAGAAGTGGTTTGACCAATTTGCCGATTCTGTGGCCAGGTGTAGCCTAGAGTGTGGAAAAGTATATCAACCTGACCTGTTCTTTAGGTGGAATATCACAGCTAATCCCAACAAATGTCTCATTCTGGTTGATGACGTTCTTCCCCTCCAAATTTCCCCTGCAGTTTCACTTGTGTGGAGTATGTTTGTGCCCTATGATTTCTGCTGTGAGACTGTGTGTCATTACGCAGTTGCTGTGCTCTCTTTCAGAGATACATGCCATTTAGTTGTGGATGAAGAAGTCTGCTTGCAGAGGCAGTGGAATGCTCCATGATCTTTGGACCAAAGGTATTATTTAAATAATTGGTGTTGTTTAATTGTTATTAAAAGAGCCGTTGCTGGATGTTAGAGAAAACTGATCCCAGAATCACAGAGAAAGTCATAGTTCTCCTGAAGATCTTAGATACAACAAAAGAATGTTATTGAAAGAGGATATAGTGGGAAGGAATACAAAATGCATTCAGAAATCAAAAATTAGGGAGACAGAGGGTTTTTTTTAATGTAATAACAACATAATTAAACAACAAGCCCAGAATTTTAAAATGTAACTTGGAGTAAAAAATTGTTCTAAAAGAATGAGCAATAGAAAGTTTGGCCATTGATTAAAACAGTGCCACTTTCTAGCTGGAGAAGTACATAGGAAACACAAGTTGCCTGGGTAATGGTATGTTTTTAAAATGTGTCCCTTGTAGGATATTTATGTGGTTATATGGCTTAGTATTTGGGTGGAGGGCATCCTAGAATTCTCTGACCTTGCCAAGTTAAGGGAATTTTCTTGAGTTGTGATTTCCTTTGATAACACTTGTTCAAATCAACCTGTGTTTACAACATGGGAGAAGGCTGGTAAATGCATTTTTAGCAGAATTTCATTTAGAAGTCTCTAGGATAGCTTTCAGGTCAGTGGTGGAAAGTCTTAGTCACAGATGTCCTGTCTCCAGGAGGCTCACAGCACTGCTCATGGAGCTACTCAGTATTGCGAAGGGTGGAAATTTCCCTACACTAGAAAAGGCAAAAGAGTAGGTTGCTAGTTCAGTGGCCAGTTTTGTTTTGAGTTCATTGTGAAACATAGGGGAGGAGAGTCTTCCCATAGAAGATATGTACCTGATGTAAGAAAATAAACTAATTACATGTAAGAACATGTAAGAAATGAACATTTTGAAAGGAAGTGAAGGGCAGTGAGGGAACTTAGGAGTCAAAGAGCACAGATTTGACAATGTCTTTCAAAAGATAATGACTACATCAGAAAATGAAAACAGAAAAGAAGAGAGCAAATGAAAACCCCAGGCAAGCATACCAGATACAAAGCTCTTGTTTACTCCAAGACCTTCACACTTCACTGAGTATATTGGGTTTTCACATGCTGGATTCACATGCTGGATTGGGAGAAACAAGATGGAAAGCACAAGCCAATCTCAAAATAAATCGCACAGGGCTTTCTGGCAATTGCCCTCAAAAGTAAAAGGAGTGAATTTGCTGCTTCTTCCCAAACATCGATCTTACAGTTCTTCAGGGAAGGCAGGCCCCTGTACTCAGCCAAGTGGGAACTGCCTCATGGCTTTTCTCAGACTGGTTTGGGCCAAACCAAAGCAGTCACGAATAGGGCCAGTAAAGTGCATGTACTCATATCGTTTCTTCTCCTTTCAGTGATTGGACTGCAGAGGTAGTAAATAAAGGGTTGAATGTGACTACTGACTGCATACTGACATGATTTCAATTAATATACTTCTCCATTTCTCATCTCTGACGTCCACACATGATTTGTAATTGTGAGTCATGGGGACATCTCCAGGAATGGCTGGCAAAGCCTCAAAAGGCAAGACAGACATGCCACATAGTGCTAGCCTTATTTAGCAAGGGAAAACAGTTACCTCCCTGTGAACTGACCTCACATAATTGTGGATGTCAGAGATAATTTTTAAGCCCTGGGTCTTCAAGCTACTCCCATCTCATCACTTATCACCGGCATCGTGAAAAAGTGCCACTTGCACAGCTGGATGCAGCCAGCATGTGATAGAAAAAGTGCACATCCATACACAGACCCACAACGCTCTGAAGTGGAGCAGAGTGTTCATGCACTGGGCCATGGCCATGAAGAGAGCAGTTTGGTCTGCACCATTTGCCAGCAGTGGGCCACACCGTGAAGCGAAGTCTATCTTTCCCCTCTTACCTAGTCCCCTTTGACTGCTAAACAATTCTGGGACATAACCAGACTTTCAATGGCCTGCAGATATAAAAGAGAATTGAGGACAGAATTTGTATTGAATATGCTGAAGAAATGGTGTAAGTAGCCGACACAGAGACTGTGTAATTCTCCTTCCTCCCCTCAGTCTTCTGGGCACTGGCTCCAAGGATTTGCATTTGCTGGTTAAAGGCAACTTGTAAAAAAGGGGAAGAGAAGCTGCTTGCAGCACTGAAGTTTTAGTGGCCCGATTCATGATTCAGCAACTCTCTATAAAGCAGCTCATGTAAGAGAAGCAGCTTGTCACACTCAGTGACCTCCCTCTGCAGGGAATGTGGGTGTACACCCCTCTGCAGGCTCACGTGATCCTTCTTCATGAAGCCATCCCCAGCAACACACCTTCTCCTGGAAGGCAGCAGCCAGGAAACCATGTACGACCTTTGAGACTTCTGTCTTCACAGCTCCAAATCCAACCCATAAAGAAAGGCAAGCAGTGTTATCTGGTATTTTTGCCTGGGTTTTATTTCTCTCTCTCACTCTTATTTTCAGTTCCGGTTTTGGTCTTTGCTGCTGTGAGAAGTCATTGCAAAACACGCCTAGCTATAGTAGTACACTCTCTACTTCACTTACGTTTCCAGTTGCTAAATTGTTTTAATGTCTCCTCTTACGCACCTGCACTGGATCAAAAAAATAGGGCTATCCTTTTTTTTTTTACTTGACTGGAAGCAAAAATTCTTACTCACAGGAGGGAAATATGACTGCTGAGAAGGAGTTTCTGTAGTTTTCAGTGGCTTGGTGCAGGCAATTTTATTTAGGCAATCAGTTGTGTGGTTTAATTGAGTGGGGCCCAGCTTAGGAGGAAAACCCCTTTATAAAAGTTCACTGTGTAGTAGGGCGGCTGGAGCAGAAAGAGAATGACCTCTGTCTACAGCAATGGATTCTGCACAAGGCCTCCCTCCTCTTCTGCTGCAACAGGTGGATCACAAAGAAAATTATCTATATCCTCTGAGACATTTGGGCTTCTTTCTCTCCTTTCCTAAGAAAAAGCAGGATGAATCTGGTTTGGAAAAAATGTCATTCACAGTTCTGTATGTTACAGTACACACACAAAAAACGTGTCAGCAGACTGAGGGGAATTCTGTATCAAACAGAAAAAGAGACTCTTGCTCCCAGAGACCTGGGGTAAAGACCCAGGCGTACCAGCTTAAAATAAAACATGACAAAAAACGGGAAACCATCAGGAAGCTGTACTACCAGTCAGGACAGCAGACAGCAATCTCACTGTTTTTAAGTAGTGTGAGACCTGAAGACTTTTTACAAGTGCTCCAGTGAAAGATGATTCTTTGGAGCTGTTTAAAGGAAAGTGAAGAACCTTGGCAGGGGTGGTGTGGAAGCCTCTCCGAAATATACAGAAAAGGCACAGGAAAAATACAAAGGTACTGCTAAAATGCAGACCAGCAACCACAGGCCAGATGCAGGTGCCATTCTCTCACCAGTGCATGGGAATGACATTTGGCTGTTTACCAGGATTATGGGCCCTTATACCATGTGAACCCAAGCAGCCGTAGAAGTGTTTTGCTTATGAGATGAGTCATAGGGTTTTTTATTTTTTTCTAAACAGATACCAGTTTTTCTTGAGCATAAATTATGTGCTGTTTAGCCCCAACTCTTTAAACCAAATAGGATTTCTCTCAGTTACCTTTTACTGTCGTGAAGGATAGGTTCCTGTTACAAAACTAAAGGTCACACACTTCATCACTTCTGGTAGCTGACATCATCGCACTGTCTCCCCCACCTCCTCCTTCTGTGTCACCCTCTCCTCCCCCTCTACTTTCAATTCCCCCATCTTCTTCCCCACACTGCCAGGCCAAGCATGCTCCCCATTCCTCTTTCTTCCACACCAGGCGTTTTGGGTACTCATCCCATCCTTTGTACCCCGGGGGCTCTGTGTTCCTCCCATGGCATACCCTGTCTGCAGTAATCTTGGCCACATTACCTTCTCTGTAAACCAGAGATCTGTCATGGCATGCTTCTTGTTGCTAAAGGCTGTGAAGCACACAGAAGTCCTTGCACCAGTCCATGGGAAAAGGTGAGATTAACTTTCTCAATAGCTTGTCTCTTGCTAAAACAACTTCTTGTTTTACCACTTCTTTGTGAGTACTGGAGAAGGTACTGGAATGTTTTCAACCTCTAATGTATTTCTTTCATTCTTCCTTCTTACAGCATCATGGAGGTCTGTGTATTCTTCCTTTATGCTATGATACTTCTCCCAGGTAAAAGGCATATTTTTAATTGTAAAAACTGTTTTGATTATTTGTGTCCTGCTATGTGATACTTTGTCATCCACTAAGAAGCTCATTCCTTAGCAGTAATTAATCATTTCCGTTGTACAATCAAGGTCAAATAGCCTATGTACCATGTATTTAAATTGTGTGCAGGGACTCTATAAAATATATAGTAAGTACTTTCTCTCTTCAACTTTATATCTTTACATTACACTTATTTTATGTTGCTCTTAAATTTTCGATTTAAATCTATCTTTAAAATGTGTGTATATCACGTCTGTATATTATAGAAGAGAGTAGTATTAAACTGAAAACTGACAGTTTGATATGGGACAACTGGAGTTTCAGGCAGCTGCAGAGATCATTTTGCAGTCTGGTGCTCTGGAAGAGCAGTCAAAACTTTGCACCAGGAGAGACACTGTAAATATTCTCCTCCTTTTGAACACAGCAGAGGTGTTTGTATCTTCTGGGACAGAGGACTGCATTTCTCATTCCAAGAAAAGACGGTCCTCCCAGACCATCGCCACCCATTAAAATGGATACATGCACTGATGAAAGTGGGAGAAAAATCGTCCCTTGTGTATTACAGTTCATGATTTCTTTGCATGAAGGCATAATTGTGTTTATTGACTATTTCTGTTAACAAGATCAACAACAGAACAGTTAAATCTGACATTTAATCTGTCATTAAACTCTAGATTAATTACAGGAGAATTAAATCTGACATTTAATTTGTCATTAAACTTTAGATTAATTCTTCAGTGAGACTGAAAGTGTTCACCTGTTTCTGACCTTTTGGTCATATATTCCCTAGACACCAACATTACCACACAGTGTGCACTTCACATTTTCTTCAAAACTGCAATGCTGTGTTATTTTATTAGGAGAATGAACTCAACTTTTTAAAAGGAAATTGTGCAGCTATCTCCTTTGTGGCAGAATCTCATTACACTCAGGATGCTACATACAAAAATGGTTTGGACCTTTTGCCTGCAGATGAGTCTTCTAAAATATAGATGGTTGCAACCTCTGTGTGGTAGGCCTTCCTTGGAAAGTAAAATATAGGAAGAAATATAACAAACAGTTTTATGACCTGAACTCCACAAGACTAAGTGAGTCAGTTTGAAGAACTATGTGTCCTGTTGTACCTAGTGGGAGAATTTGTGTCTAAATGCTGGCGGTTTTATTGCTACTGTTGTTAAGTGCTGCCTCTGTGAGTGCAAATACTTGGTGTTCTTTTGTAGCTGATGGAAATCTTCATTTCTTCTCTCTCTTTGTCTAAGGTATTGCTGCCAGTGTGCATCAGGTGAAGTCATTTCTCAATCACACTGCGTACCTATCCTGCTATTTTCCAAACTCTCAGAAAACTGACATAAAGGATTTAAGAGTTTTTTGGCAAAAAGACGCTGTTGAAGTGGTGCACGAAGTATACCATGGCCAAGAAAAACATGATAACCTTAGTCCTAAGTATATAAATCGCACCAAGATGGACATGGACAAATGGACCTTGCAATTGTTAAATGCAGGAATTGTGGACGAGGGGCAGTATTCATGTATTATACAGCACAGAGATAAAGGATCGCCAAAGGTCATACACACATCTGAGTGCTTACTGCACATCATTGGTAAGTAATCCCTTCTCATTGTCATCTGGTCTGGGGTTTTTTGGGGGGGGGGTTCTCTGTCACTTTGTTCAGTCCAGAAATGTGTGGTACTGTCCCCAAGCCATTGAAGATGTACCTGCACTGGAGCAGGATTTCTAAAGATGGGTAAGAGCATTCTCAATAGAAAATGCTCAGATCTGAATGAAAAGTACTCAAGTGGAAGCAATCAGAAGAAGTAGAAAATGAGGCAATAATTTGCTCAATATTTCACCATTCCTGATTCCCACCCTGTCATACTTTATAGTGAAAACCATTCTGCCTTCTTCCTCTTGCCTCCCACAAGTTTTATGGCTTTTAGGACTCTGGAAAATACACTTCTTTATTTGCATCTGATGCACTACCTTCTATTAAAAGTAGCAGTAGTTATCATCATTGGTGGTAAATTACAATTGAAACATAACAAGATTTCTGCAAACACCCAGCTATTTTATGATCATATAAATCACAGGGAAAATAAAGAAAAGAGCAGCTCACATGTGGAGGAGTAGAAATTCATATGTTCAGTTAAAGGAAGACTGAAAATATCTCTGAAGGAAAAATGCATGTGTTGATGAGAGTCAGCCTGATTTCTTGCATGTTATCAGAGGAAAAGGCAGCAAATCTTTTGACAAGGAAATGGAATTAAGGAGCTATCTTTTCCTAATATTTTCTAATATTTTTAGTAATTCCTAATACATTTTCCTTATGCTTTTCTATTTTAAACTGTTCTGTTAGTAACCTTTGTCTGTATGCCTGTGTTCTCTTCCACTATGATAGTGCTAGTCATTAATAGTAACAGCTTCTAACTTCCACTGGTGTTTTCAGGCTTCAGCATACTGCTTCAAAAGAGAACAGACCATGTGTAACAGCAGCCAAAAATGGAGTACCAGGATGTCTGAGTCTATTTAGCTTTGTGCTACCAGCAAGCGTTCCCTTGATCCACAGATAGAAAACCTAGATTGTTAATTTTGATTCTCCCAGAATCTACTTGACATGTATTTTCAGCAAAGTTTTAGAACTCAGAAACTGATAATGTGCACTCAGTATCAAGGCCTCTGATTTAAGAGATGCTTAGTATCAGCTGTTCAGTTAATTCAAGCAGTTAAATCAGTTATCAGCTGAGCCAACATCTGAGCAACACATTATAGAAGTCTCATACTTAGGCACTAAAACTCTCCTAGACCTTTTAAGGTTTAACCTAGGAAGACTGTTTTAAACTATGTGCTGCTGTGTTCCTTCCTCTGTTCAATAAGCTCCCAAAGGAAGGAGCAGCATAAAATCATATTAAAAAAAAAAAAATTAGAAGAAAAATACAAATGTTGAAATGCACCTGTGCTTACCTACTGTTTATTAATTAGAATCTCCTATCATACATGGAGGGTTTTTTGTAGTATGGCATGTCACACTTAAAATGGACATAAGAAAGATGGAGTGCTGTACAAGAATGATAGGGCAGTCATACAAATCTATCTAGATCACTTGGTGACCAAGCCCATTCAGAAATACTGAAGTAACTTCTAATACAGTTTACATGTGTTATTTATATGCATTACATTATGACAATATATAGACAATGTATATTATATGTATCATGTACGGCCAGGATGATTTCTGTAAGAACAATGAGCACAGAACTTTCTCCAGAAAGAACGGAGGGCTTCACAATGTAAAGCTTTGGCTCTTAAAACAGGCAAGGTAGGGACCATGGTGACAAGCAGCTTAACTGGAAATTCTGCTGCTGTAGTGTATCTCTAGTGCTTCCTTTGGATGGATCAATAAGGGAAGTAGGTGAGACTTGGGAAGCTATTTCAAAATATGCGCTATTCAAAGTGTTGGGAGTGAAACTGATGTCAGAATAGAGACTGAACAGTTTGTGTCCTCATTTTAAAGGAGATGTTGAAAAACTTAAAAGCGTGAAGAGAAGCTCTCGTAGACTTATCTGAAGACTGGAAAAAACACAGTCCAACTAGAGACATTAAAAGATCGATCTGATTACCTTATAATACAGAAGATTGAGAAGAGTCTTGTTTTCAGAGTGTGGGAACCTGAAATACATATAAAATACTGGATATTTTAAAAAAAAGGCTAATTAATTCAGTGAAGATGTAAAAACAATGGTTGGAAGCAAGTGAGAAGTAAGGCACATTGTCACTTTAGAAAATAGAACAAAACCAGGTAGGGTGATTAAGCCATTGAGAAAAATACTAAGGGCTTGATAGATCTGCTGTCTCTTGAGGTATTTAAATCTAAGCCAATAGCCTTTTTGGAAGACATGTTATCTTTAAATACAAAAGACTTCCTGAAACATGCTTTTCTGTTAACAGTCCAAAGCTCACATATACGTAGCCCACACCCTGCATGCAACCAACATAACTTTTCAGTAAATGGAGGTTTCAGAAGCTATAAAACAGAAGTGCTTTGATCGGGGTACATTCCACTATTTCTGCTTGTTTACTGTCAATAAGATTGAAACTCTTAAATCACATGGATGATGTGGCAAGTTTCACAGCCATGGATTACGTTCCTGCCCTCCCTATAAAATGTCGAGGAGAGAATAAATATTCCAGACCAGAAGCTGAGTAAGCAGTCATCTAAGCTTAGATCATCTAAGCAGACCTTGAGGAGGAAGAGGAAGCTTGAGCTCTCCTGAGGGAAAACTTAACTAAATTTTGGGGTATAAAAAAAGCGGGGCTTTTTCCATTTTGAATTCACAGCCATGGACTCTCTTGGGGACTTAAGTGACTAAGCTAAATCCTACTCCCTGTGTGTTGGGATAGAGCAAATAAAAGCAACATCATATTTCTTCATCTATCCATATTAAGAATTCACTAGGGCAAGGATTAGAGCCTAGATCCAATACACTGAGTGTGTGTGCAGGAGAGTCAGACACTCTTAGGCTCCTATTTTTCTAAGAATCCTTTTACCCTTCTCCAATATTTCTCCATATTGTCTTTAGTCCTATTGGCACTGAAATAATGAAGTATTTTCAATGAAGTCTTGAGTCTGTTTCTTGGGTTTTGTTGTTGTTTTGGTTTTTTAACTTGCTGTATGCCAACATGCAGTCAGTATTATGTCTACATTCTTTCTTTCTCCTTTTCTATTATAATCTACTATTTCTACTATGGCCTTTTATCCAAAAAAATCCTGGTTGAGAATATTTGGGAGATTATTTAATAGACAGTATTGGTTAAAAGCTTCCATTTATCATTCATATTTTCTGTTTAAATAATTCTTTCCAATCATCCTGTTTCACTAAGTATTTCTTGCCTGGGAAACTTGACTTCTTAAAGCAACAGGTATGTTTTTCATTGACTGGGATGAGTATCCAATGACACAAAGTATAAAAACTTGTACTGTACTCACTTCTACAGAAAAAGCTGAGCTAAGGGAGGCCTACTATCAAGTTGAGTGAATTACATTATATGCTGCAAAATGATTATTCATAACACTGACAGACACCAAGGATATTTCTACCAGTGACAGCACTGGACCTCCAACATACCCCATCTGAAGTTCCTCAGATAATTTCTTTCTCTACATTTCACAGTTAGAAGTTTGTGGTTTTCCCCTTACCTAATCAGGAGGTCAACAGTAGGCAGCACTATGACCCATTCCCATTTTGTGCTTAAGCACTGACCTGCAAACAGGTCAGGTTTGATTATTCTGAGGTGTCAATGGATCTAAAGGAGGTAGGAGAGACAGAGGCCCATTGTCTGGCTGATCAGACTTACATCCTTGAAACACCCTGAGGAAAAGGAGCAGCAAGTCTACATGTACACCAAAAACATAACAAACCCTTCTTGGGACTCCCATTGTTTTCCTGAGAAAATTGTTTAGACTTGCTTCTTCCTGAAAATCTTACATAATTGGCAGGAACTGTCACAAGGTGTGGTATGTCTGACTCATGATGCTTTCTCTTTGGTCTATTTCAGCCAACTATAGTCAACCTGAGATAGAATGGCTGCACACTGGGGAACTAAAGCCCAACGAATACTTGAATCTTTCCTGTTCTTCCAGCGGAGGTTATCCAGAGCCCAAGCAGATGACTTGGCTAATTTCACATGAAAACGAAACATCCAGACATATGGGTCCCATGGATGTCTCACAGGATGTTGTAACAAAGCTGTACAATGTTACTAGCAAGCTGAATATCACAGTTCCTACAAACACCCGCACTAATATTAGCTGCTTACTTCACCTTGGAGAGCAGCTGGGGAGCCTTGTCTCAGTGCCACTAGTCATAGGTGAGTCTCCATTTGACCATTCCAATTTTTGCATGGGTAGTTGCAGTAGAGCTGATCACTGATAGCAGCATAGTCAAGGCAGGGAATAAACCTCAGTAGCAGTAGGAGTTGGTTGCAAGGGTTGTATGTTCTCCATCCTGTTCACCAACTGGCTGTTGGCCACTAAATTCCTTCTTCTTTCCATATGGGAAGTCTTATTACAGCAAGGAGAGGGCACAGAGAAGGAAGGGTACTGCTATGCAATCCAGAACACAGCCCTGTTCATGCCCTCCCTAGATGCTGCTGCAGTAGCAACAAAGCACCCTGGATGTCTGGATTAGGCAGCAAGCAGTCTCTGGAGGTGACAGCTGTTAAGAGAGGTTGCCACTTCACAGAATCAGAGAGCTGTTGAGATTGGAAGAGGCATCTGGAGATCATCTAGTTCAACCAGTCTGCTCAAAGTAGGGTCAAGAGGTAGCACAGGGCCTTATCCAGTTGAGTTGCAAATATCTCCCAGGATAGAGACTCCACAACCCCTCTCAGCAAACTGTTCCAGTGCTTGACCATCCTGACAGTAAAAAAAGGGTTTTTCTCATGTTTAAGTGCTTGAGCTGCTATTCTTAATCATTCCTTGGAGAGAGGCAGAAGGCTAAAGAGAAGACTCCCTTGGACCAGATTTGGCTCACAAACTGCCAGATAGAGTTTAAGCGTAAAGGCCATGAAACTTTGACTAGTCTTAGAAGCATTCCTGGTGGTTTTCATAACATTTGGCAGAATGAAGTGCACATTCCAAAATGACTATTTTGGGGACTTTTTTTCTCTGAGTTTGGGTCTTTTTTTCAGACACATCTTGTAAGAAGCTGGGGACCTGAGTTCCAATAAAACTCTACTGCTGGATTATCTCAGGGTTCCACATGACTGATCCCTTCTTTAAACTAAAGCTGAATTTTATTTATCTCCTGGAACAGGAAAACCTCCTTTGACATATTTTTGTTCATAAGCTATGGCACCAGCACATCAAAATAAAGACAATTCCCACTTTGGTCATAAGTTTGTTTGGCTTGCACATGTCTCCTTTATACAGTGTTGAAGATGGAGAGCTGTGCTTCAAGTGACAGGAACAGGGAGCCAAGAGGGAATGGTAGCATTGCAGGAAAGCCTACCAGGGTAGTACAGGCATGCACCTTACTATTGCAGATGTAAAAGAAACTTGCCACTCATTCTGAAAAAAGTTCCACAGTGCAGTTTTCTTCATATAAATTCAGCTAAAGGGTTAAGTCATCAATGCTAGATATGGCAAACTGCCTCTGATGTCCCTACATTCTAGGATTTTTAAATAATATTAAAATACAATACAGAAGTCTTCTGAGGCTTGCGCAGCTCTACACATTGCTCAAGAGTGTTAACATAGCTATATTAGCTATAGTGCTGCATCCTCCTCTTCCCTATTCAATTCTTCTCCCCTCCCTGGCTTTCTGAATGTAGCCACCTGATAAGCAGTGATGGTGGGTGAGAAACTAGGAACTCCACATAAAAAAAAGCTTTGTTTGGCAATAACTGAAGCTCTATCAATCATTTGCTAACCCTAGCAACCAAAACCTCAAAAGCACCATAACGAGAAATAGAGGGAAACTCCTTTGCATTCCCTGCTGCTTTCACATCCCTTATGGCATTTCATTAGGCTTTGACCATCGTTTCCAACAGATACCAAGGAGTAGCATATCCCAGGTTCTTCAAACTTGCACAGTAGCACAGAGTAGCATTAGCACAGTAGCTGCCTTGTAGGCTCTTGTATTAATTAAGTTGCTGATCTCTCACATATTACCCAAATTTCAGAAAGAGTACTTTGCCTTACTGTTGTTGAAGCAGCTGTTAAGACCTGGTAGTTTCGCTAGTTATTGGAAATGGAAATAAAGCAATGTGGACCGTGATTTACTGACACTATTAAAGCACTGTAAAAGCAAAGGATGCTGAGGGCCTTTCTCTAAACTTCTAATTCACATAACTTTGGGGTAAATTGTTTAAGCTAATTGTCACCAAATTAAATCTTTGCTGTATGTATCTCCTCTGTTTTCTTATTCAGAGATACAGAGGGAAGAAAGGGAGCAAGCGAAGACAGATTTCTTTGGCCCACTTATAGCCGTGATTGTACTGATCACATTCCTTCTGGCTTTTGTGATATTGAAGAAGAACAGAAATATCTCATCTACCAACCACAGTAAGTTATTACTTCTCATTCAGCTCTACTGTCCCTCAAGTCACAGGCTTTGCTCTTTGTAATCATCCCTTTACCTACATTCAAGCTGCTGACAGAAAGTTAGGTTTCATGCTGTACTTAAGTTAAACTTCCTTGGACAATTTAGTTCCTGCAACAACTTAGTCCATCCAGCAGCAAGTCAAAACATCTTTCTCCTTCCTGGGATCCACTTCTCCCTCTTCTTTGTGCTCTGTGAGAATGCCATGGCACCAGCTTACCACTTCTTCCTGCAGTTTCCTCCTTTTTTACTATTTTTTTGGTATATTTGGCTCCTAAAATCATTGAACTCTAAAAACCTTTCTTGTCCATCACCATTTATAAGAAAGGTGGAGCTGGGGGAGGGATGAGATGAAGCTTCCATCAAGTGCCAAGTATCTCTGCCACCACAGAGCTGAAGGGTCAAGGCATTGCTCCACCACAGGCTGCCCAACACTGGACTGGAAGAATCATCTTGTACTAGGAACAGAATTCGATCTTTGCATTGCATTTCTCTAATTTGTTCCAAGATGAGGTCTCAGCAGTCCAGGGTTTATTCTGCACTGAAAGGATCCTCATGCTGACATCAGAGTCTATCCTTCCTTGTAGCAACAGGGAAATGCATTCCTCAATCAGTCCTGTTTCCTCACACAGACAAGGGTCCTGAGCCCCACCTCATTCTTTCTCCAAATCGTAAGATTACTGGACATTTACTATCAACTCTTTTTCAGCTCCTATTTCTAGCATTTCTGTAAATCACATATCATCTATTTCAGGTGTCAGTCTAGCAGTCTAGAAGCTATCCAGCTTGAAACTGAGGCCATCAGCCAGACTGCTGACTGGGAACCATCTCTGCACATAGCAAGGCCTGAGGTCCCATATTCTTAGATGCTCTGCCAGAACAAGAATCCTCCCCAGGCACCCTGCAGAACAACATGCAACATTTTTGTCTGATGGCTGAAATCCACTGTCCAGTGTTCTCTGCTTTCATTTTTGCTCCAGAATGGTAGTAAATATGATGCTCTGCCTGTCTGCATGACCATCTTTTTGCTGTATCTTTCATTACACACTGTGACATTGTAAAATCCTGGGAGTCAATGAAGAAAGCAGAGCTGCGTGGGTTACAGAAGGGAACGTCTTAGAAATTTAAAGAGTTAAGCCACAATCTGTGAATCATGGAAAACATGATCAGAGGCAGGCTATTAATCATGAGCCATAAATGCTTTTGTCAGAGCCAGTGTGGCTGCATACCAGTAACTTTCTTGTAAAGCTCCACAGCAGAAAGAGGAACTTCAGGGCACTTCCCTGCCTTCTGAGAAAAGTCATGCAACTCCTATCAGGCATTTGAAACTAGAAATCACCTGAAAGAAAGACTTGCTTTAAACATAATTTCTGGTTGTCTTTTTTTTTTTTTTACTACCATCCAAGCTTAATAAGACCAGACAGTTAGTACCACACTTTGTTCCTCTGTATTCTGACCAGATGCTGTACTAGTTGCTCAGGTGGATGCAGGGATAGAAAATGAAAGCATGAGGTATCACTCATATATGTATAAATCTAAATATACAAAATTAAGCTAAGCAGAAAACAAAAAAATATTATATAAGTAGGTCATGTTCCAATTTGGTTGACTATGTTCTCCCTTTCTTAATTTTGCTTCAAACCTTGAAGATAGAGCAATCCGTACACTGTGGTATGCTGAGCTATAGGAAGTAGTTTTACCTTTCAGAAAAGATTCTCCGTTTCACTCAAAATGTGCCAGTTCTCTGATCTTGAACGATTTCTGCACTTTATATTCTTCAACAGCATTGACATCTTTCAGAAGGAAGAATGCAGCAGAATTGAGACAAAATTCTTCTGAGGTCTTGATTGTGTTTGTAGGTCTGACATTTTCAGCAAGAGCAAGGACATTAGCATCACATTCTCAAGACAAATTTCAGCTCAGAATTGCAGTCTGGGGTCATAAATTCTCTACGGTTTCTGCTGGGTACAAATATTCTTTTCTATTAAATGATGTTGTGAGTTGCAAGATTCCACCTCAATTTTTACTCCATTTTCAAGTGTGTGAGAGAATGTGCATGTCCTTCTGAGTTAGCTAAACCATTTGGGAGTCAGTTTATTAAGCTATTACACTAACATTCCAAATATTTTCATTCAGATTAATATCATTCAAATGTTATTAAAAGTTAAAGGTTTTATTTTTATGTAAAAGTTTATATTTGCTAGCAAACTTATTTAATGACTTATTAAAATATATGTCTTTTTCTGTGTTGGTGTTTTATTCTCCTGCCATTAAAGCAGTATATTGAGGAATAACCACATTTGGTGTTCTGAGGGAGGAAACACTCCCAGAATTATTTCTTGGAAGCAAATTACTAAAAAAGGTATTGCTGCAATGACCAAGAATGGCACAACTGAAGGTTTCATATGTTCATTCATGGAGCTGGATATATGTGCACAACTCTGTGTATGCATACCTCCTTGATTTACTGACCTATACACCTCAAAGATTAGATACAAAATTCCAGTCTGAAAATTTGGCCTTTTGATTCTATACTGCAGGTTGTCAAGTATATCTCCAGTGGGTCACACAATCTTCTCTAACTCTTGATTAACTTGTGGTTCCTTAAATAAAGCATGTGTAAACTATCAGGTATACTAAATCAGGTAGATACTCACTAGATTTGTGTTGTCTCTTGCTTTTTTTTTTAACACATGCTGTCATTCAGTTCATTTTTTTCAACATTTTCCCTTCCCACTCAAGTCATCCACCTCAAATCCCTGCTAACATTGAGGTTGTCAGAATAACAGCTAAACCTTACTTTGCTCCTACCCAAACAACAAGCCTTGTGGCTCTTTTGTCTTCCATGTGACTAGATTCATGCATGTACACATACACCCTTGAACTCATGGCCTTGGAACTCTCTTACTAGTACCTAAATCCTGATGTGCTGCTTATCTGGTCAGCTTTATGCACCGAGGAAAAAAACCATCACCAACCTTTCGTGTTTGTCCCTAGGAGAAAAACAATAACCAGTTCCTCCACAATGTATAAGGTACCTGGAAATCTATGCTAGGACTCAAGAGTCCTTCTCTAGCACATTCACTTAGCACAAAAAAAAAAATTCCTAGCACTTGGAAGTGCAACAGTTTTTGCAACATGTCTTAGTACCTCCGAGGGGGTTTTTCAAACCAACGCACTGTGTACTATCACTATCAGCAGCTATAATTAGTGGAAAAGGTCACATGGTGAGCTACATTTATCTTTTCCTAACTCACTTCCATCCTTAATTTTTTCCTAATTAGTGAAGTTGTTTGTTTTCCTGCCTTGCCATCCCTCTACTTTAGACTGCCAACCTCCTTCTATTACCTGATCAAGTTCTCTACCTCCTCTTTTCTTGCTCTTAAAATCAACTCTAATTCCCTCCTGCATCTAAAGACAGTTAAGGGGAAAAAAGCAGATGGGCTTCAGGGAAAATTTTAGTTTGTATATGACTGTTCAAATGCATTAATCCTCTGTGCTAGCAGATGTGATGAGCACAGTAGCAAGGCACAAGAAAAGCGTAGCTGATGTGCTGGCATTTTTGTCCTCCATACGAATACATTCAGATTTCCAGGCTATCTCCTCACCCACTTTGTAGATTTTTCTTTGACAGCGTGCTTTCAGTCATTTAGTGCCTCTATAAACATGGCAAGCAAACAAATGAGCATACGCCCACTACATACCACAGCATATAACAGCTTCACTTAAAAACACCATTCCTTTATTTTTAGGCATAACATTACATATTTCAGAAAATGCTAACAAAAAATGGAAATGGTGTGTAAACCAGTAACCAATGCCCTAAGGTAAAATCCTGTCATCAGACTTACAGTTGTGATAGATTGCTTCAGGTTCACTGATTAACCAGCTCTGAATCACAGAACAGTTGAGGTTGGAATGGACCTAGGGAGATTGTCCAGTTCAACCCCCCTGCTCAAGTAGGGTCACCTGGAGCAAGGTGACCAGGTCCATGTCCAGACAGCTTCTGAATATCTCCAAGGTGGAAGACTCCACGACCTGTCTGGTCAAACTGCTCCAGGGCTTGGTCACCCTTCACAGCAAAAAAATGTTTCCTTGCATTCAGAGGGAACCTCCTGGGTTTCAGTTTGTGCCCATTGCCTCTGGTCCTGTCACTGGGCACCACTGAAAGAAGCCTGACTCAGTCTTTTTCACACCCTCTCTTCAGGCATTTATACACACTGATGAGATGCCCCCTGAGCCTTCTCTTCTCCAGGCTGAACAGTCCCAGCTCACTCAGCCTTTCCTCGATGAGAGATGCTCCAGTCCCTTAACCATCTTTGCAGCCCTTTGCTGGACTCTCTCCAGTAAGTTGATGTCTCCCTTGTACTGGGGAACCCATAACTGGACACGGGACTCCAGGTGGGGCCTCACCAGTGCTGAGTAGAGGGGAAGGATCACCTCCCTCAGCCTGCTGGCAATGCTTTCCTTGATGCAGCCCAAATACTATTGGCCTTCTTTGCCAAGAGGGCACACTGCTGCCTCATCTTCAACTTATCCACTAGGCCATCCATGTCCTTTTCTGCAGAGCTGCTTTCCAGATGGTTTGCCCCAGCCTGTACTGGTGCATGGGGTTATTCTTCCCAAGGTGCAGGACTTTGACTTCCCCTTTGTTGAGGTTCCTCTCTGCCCATTTCTCCAGCCTCTTGAGATCCCTCTGGATGGCAGCACAACACTCTTGGCGTGCCACTCCTCCCAGTTTTTTATCATCTTTAAACTTGCTAAGGGTACACTCACTCCCATCATCCAGGTCATTAGTGAAGAGTAAACTCAGTCAGTTTTACTGCGGATTCCTTCATGTCAGCCAGTGCTACGGCAACAAGCAGTCCTTTCCTATAGTTAACAGGTGAGGGGACTGTGAAGTGTTGCATTTCCAGAATATTCCACAGTCACTTCTGAGGGGATTGTCATTAACAAACCATCTCGTGGCAAACATCTTTTAGTGCACTTTTTCCTCTTCAGGTGAATTATTTGCTACTGGAGGTTACATCTGACCACAGAAATATGGCAATTCCATTAAAGAAATCTAGTTCTTGTGTGCATTACCTCTAAGTTTTGGCTTCAAATTATCTTTCTCCCTCCTTTCCAACCTCAGAAGGAAAAAAGGAAAAAAATTTGGATATGAAATACTTACCTACACTGGAATGCTGGGCTGTCATAATTCATAACTAGTCTCTCTTTCCTTTCCCATCTTCCGCACTGGGAGGGCCATAACGCTGGGGCAGGGAAGGGTCTAAGGAAGACGTGTTTTCAAATCTCAGGATGGTCTACCAGAAGGATCTCAAGAGGAAAAATACAATTAGGCAGGAAAGCTGGTGAAAGAAGAGAAAGAGGGGGGAAATGAATGAGGGCTGGGAAAGTATAAGGAAAAGAGTGACACACTGAGCTGGCTTGCAACAGTAAGTGCACATGCATCAAGTACAGAGCCTAGGCACAAGCCCCTGCCTCACAGACCCCAGGAAATAAAAGGTTCTGGCAGCTGTCTGCCTGTTGCTTTCTGGGGAAGGCTACTCTCCAGTCAGCAGCAGTGCCACTAGCAAGGAGAGCTTCTGCACAGAAGTCCTGAAATCCAGAATATTCTTACAGTCCTTGACCTGCCATACCTCCTCACATGCTTGTGAATTTTATGGCAGATATGCAAGACCAAATTTTCTTGCACTTGGTGTGTGCTTGATGCTGAGAACTGCACACCTTTTGTCCACTGCTTTTGTTAAAATAGCTCTTAAAACAAAACCTCATGAAAATCATAAAAAATATGCTTAGCCACCCATTCCTAATAAGTACCGCTTATTATTTCAGAAGGACATCAAACTAAGAAAAAATGGAAAGACAAGGTGAGAATAGCTCAAATGGCAGTTACATACATACATGCACAGCTGAGGAACTATGTGTATTGCCCACCCTCTTCTGAAACACACAAGTTAAATCAAAAATATAACTAGTTTGTTTTGGAATAATTTTCTAAAGCTTTCCTCAGCCTAGTT